ACCTATTCCATGTAGAGTAATTTTCAATACCTGTTAGCTGAAACGAAATGATTTGAATTTCTCTAACATCAGCAGGTGAGAGGAACAACGGATGATTATAATTGATTCATGTCACTTGATTCGTCTTATTTCCAGAATTGAGATTTGAAGTTTCTTCAATTGACCCCATTTTCGTTTTCTTGTTTCTTTCTCAATAATTGAACATCCAGATGTGCGGGATGAAGAAGAACAGAAGAACAAACTTTCAACCAAGAGAATTTCAGAGAAGAATGATTGCGGAAGAAAATTTAGACCAAGAGCTTCGATTTCTCGAGCAAAGCTCTGATACCATGTTGTGAATTGAGGAAGAATAAGATAGAGAATGCAGAGATGACAGAGAGAGAATGAAATGATTTCATTAAAGTGTAAAATCTAAAATACATGATACACAATAGCCCCCTTTATACTTAGCTAATACTAACCTCTAAACTAACAACTAATTGATCACTTGTAACCACTTTTAACTAGCTTAATAGAAAATTACTAGTTTGCCCTTATATCATTTACATAATCTATATTAGTTGTGCCCAAATCGGGTAATGGACACCCGGTAAGGAATTTTTTTTTTTGAAACAGCAGCAATCAACACGCTTAGTCCTGAAAAGTTCCAAATTTAAAAAGTGAATGGCTTATTTTTTCAAAATTAGAGTTTTCAGTATGGTAGAATTATCCCGTCCTTTAACCCCCCCCCAAAAAAAGAATAACCCCGTTCCAAAATTTTAGTCGATATTTGTTTAGTACTCCCTCCGGTCCAAAATAAGTGATTTTTTGGCATTTTTTTTGTGGTCCAAAATAAGTAATTTTTTCAGATTTCAAGAATGAATTAATTATTTTTTTCCTACATTGCTCTTGGAGTAAATAGTGTTGGAGTATTTATGTAAAGAGATAGTAAAGGTTAATATAGTCAATTTCATTGCTAATTAATAGTGAATTTCTTAATATATGTGAAAACAACTAAAAAATTACTTTTTTTGGACCGGAGAAAGTATTGTATATTGAAAGGGAACTGAGTCCATTGGTTTCGTTGCTTTAATTGATAAGAGGTCGCGCAATTCAAACTTTGTTGACATCTTAACTCTTAGCTGCAAATAAAGGCCAAGAAATTTTAGAAACTACACGCTTTACTTACTGAGGTTCAAATATTTCAGCAGAATTGCATGCATTGATATATGGTCTTAGGCTGGCATATGAGTTCAATTTAGTACCACTGGAGGTGGAGGTGGATGCGAAAGAAATTGTCACAATGCTTCAACTTAATAATATCTCATTTGCTAATATGTTAATTGACTGCAGGTACCTCCTGGACCGGCTAGGTAAGCAGCAGTTCAACATGCATATAGAGAACAGAATAGGGTTGCGCATCACCTAGCTAGCTAAGGCATGCAGCAATTTTGGACACAACTCAGTACCACATATTTTTGAAGTGATCCCAGTTTTTGTTCGGAAAGCTTTTGAAGAAGACAAGAATGGAATGTTAGCACAAACTACAAGGCAAGGGAATGTTCTGAATGATATCGACACTGCTTCAGTCCATTGTGATGTCTTTCCCAGTAGATGCAATATAAATGTAGTAGATAATAGTAATAGTATGGGTCAGTGTAATAGTATATTACCTAGCAGTAGTACGTTATTTTATAATAGGATGCACCATATGCATCTACTCTCGTACGCACCACTTAAAAGTAATATATGTTTATCTTTTAAACCAAAAAAAAAACCTCCTTGAGAGGAGAGAGGAGTTCACCGGCGACACATGCAACATTTTGTGACAAATGAATGTACAAGAATTTAGAAATTAATCTTTATGGGTTTAACTTTAAAATTCTTCGCATTGAATCTATTATAATTTTTAATATTATGGGTTTAGATCTATCACTTATTGCAATCTTAGGGATTTTTAAACATAAATTCTCTGCATCTAAAGTATTGACTTCTGATAAATCTGGTGTCCTAAGATTACATCTGCCTCTACAAACGAAGTCATTTTATTTTACTTAATTCATATTTTATTTTCACATATATTATTTACACATGTATATTTAATAAATTTTCTAAGGAAGAGGTGTCCGAGATGACACCGCTGCTTAACTCAAGGTGAATCCGCCCTTGGGTTCAAAGTAAATTAAGTTGGAACTTATTTCAAGATTCGTCCTAATGTAAGGCATGTCTAAAACGGCCCAAAGCAACCATTGGAGTATCAACCTCGTATGCCTAGTGCATACTTGCCATACACTCCAACTTGATTGCCACTCAATTAGGGAGGGACACATTTCTTTTTCTATTTTTTTGCTATTGATCAACAGATCAAGTATCGTTAATCCCCTCCAGAAATTGAATGAAATAAAATATTTAAATCACTATGACACTCAAAAATCCACACATTTAAGTTCATAAAACGTAATCTTTCTAGTTACAAGACGTCTTGCCTAAGGCATAATCAATATATGAGGTTAATAATAAAGAAAGCAACGAGGCCATGCAAGGTTTTCCCTCTCTTTTTTCTCCGCTAACTTCTATTCATAGACATCGCCTTCTCTTCCGCAATATTTTGTGCTGTCATTTTTCCTTCATTTTCTGGCCACGTTCCCGCAGTCCTTCGATCCACTCATCTCGTACCTAAGATAATCTTAAATACTGGATTCTTTTGATCACGTTTCAGACTAGGGGTGGTAAACAGCTGGGTCGGGTCGGATATGAGCGAGTTGAAAACGGGTAATGCAAAAACGATTATTGGAATTTTTACCTCCTATAGCAAAGGTTAACACCTTATTTATTTTAAATAAATACCATTTAAAAAAATTATATTCTATAGATACCTTTTAATGTTTATAGCAAAATATCTAATTTTGGTTACCTCCTAATTCTAAGCCACTAAATATGCTATTCAGTTACACTATTTTCTTTCTCTCTCTACTTTGATACATGCCATTCTCTTCCCCATTTCCTGAAAACATGATGCTCAATCACAAAATTCCTCTCACCCACATCACCTACGTTCTCTCCAATCCCAATTTCTCCAATTCCATCGGAGCATGCATATAAGTTACCACGTCAAATATGTTGCCATATGGTTTCGACAATTTGGACATATAGCACTAGGAGCCTTGGTGTCAATCAAAAGCTTCATGCTCAATTTGGTTTCTTCAGAATTAGTCGTCATTTTAATTAACTGCTGCAAGTCTTAAATTAGTAAAGCTATAAGCATGTTAATATTGGAGAAAGAAGAGTCCTTATTCTGCCACTATTGCTCGACGGCGTCATCTTCTCGAGGTTCATCTTCTGGAGAAAGAAGAGTCCTAATATTGGATAAACTCGAGGTTCTCAACTTCCGTCATCTTCAATACAAGATTCAAGCTTTAACAGAGTCTTTATTCTGCCACCATTGCTCGACGGCGGATTCACCGGAAAGTAGGGTTTGTTCTTGAACAAAGACGACGGAGTTTGGGGCTGAACAACTTGAATTTTCTGTTAATATATTTCAATGTATGTCGTTGTATTTCCATGTATTTCATTGTATTCATTGTCTTTTTTTCATTGTATTTCAATGTATCTCGTTGTATTCCATGTATTTCATTGTATTCACTGTCTCGTTATATTCCATGAATGTATTCATATATTTTTTAATTAATATAATTTATATATTCAAATATATTATATAATTTCTTTGAAGATTGCTATGTTTTTGGGGTATTTTTCGGTTGAGAATCTTTTTTATAACTGAAAATACAAAAACTATGTGTTATAATTGAGTTTGTTGAGTTATATTAGGAGTCTATTATGTTAATTGATTCACTTTCCATTTAAAAATAGTGTAATCCCCTGTTTCACGTCGTGAATACAGTCGAATACACTCGAATCCAACAACTGATTAGCTGGACTTCCCTGATTCACGCCTATTTTTGCTATTGTATTCATGAATACAATAGCTTAAATACATCTAATACATCTTATAACAACAGAAAACGTATCTACAATCTGTAATATAGCAAATGGTATCTATAGATAGCTAATTACCACTAAAAGATAGTGTTTTATGAAAATTTCTCTAAATTATCCGACCCGATCCAAATTTAATACGGATAAAAAATGAGTCAACCGCAGATAATATGGATATCCATATTATCCATGAATATGATCACTGTTGGGAGAATTTCTAGTTTCTCAAACTCGAGGACACCCAATTTGAGACTTTACAAATGTAAAAGTTAAACTCATTAGTTATTCATTTTCTAAGTGGATAATATGGTTCTTATCCATATTTGACTGTTTTTAAAAAGTTCATTATCCAACCCATTTTTTAATAGGTAATATGGGTGGATAACGTTTTTCTTTTAACCATTTTGCCACCACTATTTCAGACCCTAAACTGAAATGATTTATTTGGACCTAGCTATATAATTTCTCACACGGGGTGTTACACCAAACCAATTAATGCAACACAGATGCCTTTCACACGCTTATTTATCACTTAACCATAGTGCATATCTCACTTTAATTTTTAGCTGCTAACAAGATTAAATTGATTGATTTTCTGTAAACACCCGGTGGTGTTACCATAGTTGGATCTAGGTGTTAAATGTGTTACATATACTTATATTGAAAGGCATAGATCCGCCTCCTCACCCCTTGATAAGTTGACCTTGCAAATCATTTGACTTTGCTTACAAACTTTCAATCTTTGAGTTTCCATGTGGCTGGTGCCGTTCGTGACGGCGAGAGATAAGTTGATCCGCACATTCACAACTCATTTCTGTGCAGCTTAATTACAGTCATTTTATTGTTAGTATTTCATAATATGATCAGATTTGAACAACTAAGAGAAATCCTACCTGCAGGCAGCCAATTAGATCTCTATAAATACATTCACATGATCTTCTCTCTGTTCCCAACATATTCAACTAAACATCATTTCCCAACCTCCTAGATATATACAGTAGTTAGTCAAAACTATAGCAGGAGAAATGGAGGCGTACTCTACTTGCAAAAGCTTGATGTTGCCCCTATTGACAATTGTCCTATTCATCTCTCTAACACAGCCAGCAGTTACAGCAGCCAAAGACTCTAACACAGCCTACACAAACTTCGTCAAGACCAAATGCAACATCACCACATATCCTTCACTTTGCCAGAAAACACTAACACCCTATGCCTCTTCAGTGAAAAGCAACTCCACACTGCTGTGCATAAAAGCCCTTAATGTAGCCATAAAAGGCGCACGCGACGCCTCTGTTATTGTCTCGAGACAGAAAGAACAGAAGGGAATAACCCGATATGAAGCCGCCGCTATTAAAGACTGTATGGAAGATGTCAAGGACGCAGTGTACGAACTCAAGCTGGCTGTTGAAGCAATGGGACATTTGGGTGATAAAGATAAGGAATTTCAGTTGGCTAACGCCAAGACATATGCAAGTGCTGTAATAACAGACGCAGATTCATGCACTGATGGTTTCTCCGGACGGAAGGTAAATCCAGATGTGAAGGACATCATAAATAGAAGCATGACAGTTATTATTAAACTGTCCAGCAATGCGTTGTCACTCATTAATCATCTTTATGTATAGTACTGTCCCTTTGTGGTTTGGATACTGTTTAACCAGAAAATAAGAATTTCGGTCAAAGCTTAATTTTAGAAGAACTCGAGTAACTGATAAACAAATAAGGAAATGACTAAGTAATTAAATGGAAGAATTGAATTGAAAGGTAACAAAGTAAGCAAAGCAAAGTAAATCAGTGCATTCCAATAATATTCTGTGTCCCTTTACAAATGTTATTTCTCTCCTTTTATAGCTATTTCTAAGTAATACGTTTCTTTAATTTCCTCCCATAACAGAGCCATTATGAGCAATTAATGGCACTAATGTAACGTTATAATTGACAATCGTAACTATTTCGTGAAGATTTTATAACGTTTTCTATCATTGATGCTCATTAATTACGGATAATACGTACCTGTACTTTTTGCTATCTAGGTTCATTCCTCCAATGTCTCTTCAAATTACCAAGAGGTCCGAGTAACCGTTCCTTCCTGTTTCTTGAATCTTTGCCCGTATCTATTAACAGAGGCGGATCTAGGATTTGGAAGTTACGGGTGCCATAATATATATATATATATATATATATATATATATATATATATATATATATATATAGACACACACACACCTACCACTAGCCAGAAAGACAAAATAGGAAGAATAGATGATTCAGTTATTTTTTGGTTATTCCAATTAGGTCTTTTATTTAAAAAAGCAAAGAAGTTCGATTTTAGTTCAATTTTTACGTTTGGTTTACTATTTTCTAGGATAAAATTACCAAAAAAAAAAATTATTTTATGAAATTACGCCTCCATGTGGAAAGTTTTCTTAAAGAGTAGCTTAATTACTAGTATATAATTTTTGTTTGATTTTATTAATTGATTATTATTCTTGGTTTAATTTTTTTAATTTAATTATTGAGTTATATCACAATTATTTTCAAAGCCAAAATTTTAAAAATATCAATCTATGAGAATCAACTTAAAACTTCTTTTAATCATGTTTTTTTTTTCAAAAATCAACAAATGACACTGTTCAAATTATACTCCAATATATAAATTACTAATATTGTATCACCAAAAAGAGAAACTATATATTACTTAGAATTTTAAAATTATGCATAGAAAGAAATTGCTTATGAAATAATATAATTGTAGGAAACAAAATATAGGCTAATGTAAAGAAATTTAAAAAAAAGAAAGAAAGAAGATGGAGGATTTACTAGCAAATAACGGGAAGAGAAAAAGGGTAAAATGAAAGAGGAGGAAAAGAAAAGAAAGAAGAGACGAGGACCCCAGGCCCAGTAGAGAATGAAGGAAATTTAGGGTTAATAAGCACGAAAAAGATTTTAAAATAAAAGAAACATAGAAGTGCTTAAAAAAGTGCTGCTACTGGGAATTGTACCCAAACACATACGGTGAATGAGAGACTTCAGCACCAACGCCTAACCATGGCACCCACACGAAGTTTCTGTAATCAGGGTGCCACTTTTTATATATAACTCATTTTACATAGAAATCAACAGATTTATTTAGAATTTCTACCGCACGGGTGACGTACCACCCCGATCCTATAAGGTAGATTCGCCCCTGCCTATTAAGGCTCGTGTCTTTTTGAATATTCTTTGCCAGTTGTCATTCTTTCATTGATCCACGTGTTTTGACATGTCAGCACATAATTAATTCCAAATGTTAACTTGATTTTTCCCAATACAGATAGTCCCCTCACTTGTCATTTATTCATCAATTTAATATTTGTGAAGTGGATCTCATTAAAGCGGGAATTTTTGCCGCCATCATATTTATCATCATAACTTCTCCAGAACTGACGTTTCGCATGTCACTTCCATTTAATGCATGTGACACGTGGTGACTTTTGATTGGTTCTGCAACCCTTTAATGCCTTTTAAGGATTTTTTACGGCTTACATCAATCACGAAGTGACAGTTTTCATTATGACGTTCCCATCATTACCTTTTTTGTTTGACGGTTCTTTTGAGTATAAATATTACCTTTGTCTTTTCTTTCTCATAAAAGTTTTACATCTTTGAATCTTCAATCTTCTCTTCTTCCTCGTACAGCTATGTCTTCTTCGAACCCTAATCCCCAAAAAGTTCCTATTATTGATGAACTTCCCCTTGCTCTTACTAGAAGCAGAAAAGGGGGAAGATTATGCAGTCTAGGGTTGGTTGCTATTAGAGGTTCTTCTTCCTCTCTACCTAGTTCCACTCCTCCTTCAGCTTCTAGAACTAGGGCTTCCCTCACACATAGGTCTTCTACTAGAAGTAGGGATTCCAATGAGCCAATCCATGAACCCACAGTAGACAAGATTATCCCTTATGAACTTTCTTTTTATACTGATAGAGAATCAATTAGGAACCAGGTTTCCTCTATGTCCTCTCATGATCGTGCCGATGTTTTCCCTTCACATATTACTGAAGGCTTGATTTCTGTTGTTCGTTGAGATTGCTACTGGAGTTTCGATTTCCCAATTCTAATTCCTAATGCAAATCAAAGGATTACTTCTTTCAAAGCTGGTTTTCCTTTGTATGTACGTACCTTTTTACTTTGGGCTTTATACCCCTTATTGATCCATTTATTATTGAACTCTGTCGTTTCTTCAATATATGTTTAGGACAAATTGGCCCTCACTACTAGAAATCCGGAAAAAGTGACCACAAAAAGCGACCAAAGTTGGTCGCTTATAGGTCACAAAGCAACCAAAAAGCGTCCAAACTGGCTTGGTCGCTATTTTGCGGTCCCTTTACCTTAGAGACCAAAGTTGGTCACTAATTAGCGATCAACTTTGGTCTCTAAAGTAAAAGGACCAAATATTCCGGATAAACAATATACCGACCAACTTTGGTCGCTTTAATATTCTATAATATAAATTTAGCGATCAAAGTTGGTCTCTATATTTAAATTATATATTTTTATTTATTATTAATCAAAATATAGCGACCAACTTTGGTCTGTAAAATAAATATGATATTTTAAAATCTGAAAAATAGCGACCAAAGTTGATCGCTTTTTTTTTTTAATTTTTTTAATATTTTTTAAACATAAGCGACCAAAATTGGTGGCTAATTTCAAGAATTTAATTATTTTTTAAACAGAAGCGACTAAAATTGGTCACTATTTTGCAGGATTTGTTTAATAAAATAACGACCAAAGTTGGTCGCTTTTTAGGAAATCTGGGTTAATTAGTGACCTACCTTGGTCGCTATTGCCCAGAAAATATTTTTTTAAATAGAAAAGCGACCAACAAGCGACCAAAGTTGGTCGCTTTTTTGGGTATAATTTGGCAGAAACTGCCTGTTTTGGCAGCTATACCACCTGCCAGCATACCAAATTCCCTATTACAAGCAACAACAACAACAATACCAACAACAACACAACAACAACACAACAACAACAACAACAACAACAACAACAACAACATTAACAACAACATTAAAACCAACAAAGTACAAAGTTCAATAGAACTAATACATTAAACTAACAAAACTAAGTTAACGCTTATTACAAGCCCATTCGAAAACCGGTTCTATTTGTCTAGTTCAAAGTATATAAAAGTCAAGGAGTGTTTTGTACATCATTATCATCACCGTCTGATGAACTTTCAGCACAAAGACGGTATACAAAAGGGTCTACTTGTCGAGGACGGGAAGAACGGTCACGGGGAGGACGGGAGGAACGGGCACGAGGAAGACGGGAAGAATGAGCATGGGGAAGTCGAGCCTCTAGCAATGACTCACGAGATCGGGTAATCGGAAAACCTCCAGAAGCTAGGAGAGATTTGAGCTGCTCTTGCATGCCCTGGCACTGAGCTTGCATGCCAATGTACTGAGCATCTCTAAGCTTTTCTCTTTCCTTGGCCGCTTCTAGCTCGGATGTGCGCTTTGTCACAGTCTCCTGCATAGCGGAGAGGCTCTCCCCATTAACTTTCTCACCTTGCGAGGAAGTCCCTATTCCTTGCATTTCACAATTATAGCGATGGAATTTCTTAGTAGGAAGCTCGTATACCTTCCCCCATTTTGGAACGCCAGCAACCTCCGTCCACATTCTTTCAGCATCCTCGTCCAAAGGTTGGATTGGCTCGCCCAACTTATTAGGTGGCTGACTGCGTATGAATTCCTCCACTTCAGCTGTGAAGCGACCTTATAAGAAAAATTACATTGAATTAGTATTTCAAAATTTATATAAAAATAAATCAAAATACTTAATGAAAAGTGAAAACTTACATGTACAGTCGAGGCTCGGCCCTCGACCCACCTTTCTTGATCCATCTCTTTCTTCTTCTTTACAATATGAGCCTTCTTGAGTAGCTCATCTTGGTTCATCAGACACCCCAACTTCTTTTCCTAAAAACACATGAATTTTAGTTAATAAAAAGAATAGATATACTTTGAAAATTAAAATAAATTAAGCAATTATGTACCAATCTTCTTTTTATTGTCCCTAGGCTGATCGCACCTCCAGTGTGCAAGGATCCTCCCTTCTCAGATGCACGAGCTTTCTTTCCTTTTTCGCTCTTCTCTAAGAACTTTGCGGTAAGCCATTGTCTTTGCAAATCCTCCCATAAATTCTGAAGCAACCAGTCAGTCTTTTGGTTCAACTTTATAGTTTTGGAGAAACTGTGCGACAAACGCTTGCGAGCTTTGAGATGAAAATTTGCAGCCACTTTCGCGCTATAGCAGTGTTCCCATACACACTTGCTCTATATTTCAAAAGTTAAATATTATATGGAAATATCATAAATATAAATAATTATACTGCTTAAAAGAACATTTATACCTTAAATTGATTGAATTTTCTCCTTCAGCGAGAATGGGAATTCACTCCAAGTCGCATAAGGGCCATCATAAAGCTTTCTGGTGGCTTTGGTGATTATCCTCGTAGTAATATTACTTGGGATGAACCTACAATTTAATAAAAAAAATACATTAATATCTTAGTACAAAACTGTACAAAACAATAATCGTAAAAATAACAAATAACTCTTACCCATCACCCTCAGAGACTATG